ACCGCTGGTATAGAAGAAGTTGAGGCTATACAACCTAAGTCCAGGTCTGAAGTTATGTCCAAAAGGCCCGTGAAGCCCGAGCCGGAGAAAGTTCAAATTGAGCCCATTGAGTCTTTCCACCAAAAGATAATTGTAAACCCAGGAGAGCCTAAAAAAGGTCAGGTTGTTGTGTTTTCATAATCTCTGCAGGTGCCCATGAGTTGCATGAGAGCTCCGACTTCATCAATGCTCTTACGAACGCTCATCCTCAGGTAATTAGAAAGAAGAAAAAACTTATGACCAAAATGGAGCCGCAGTTGCCAAACGACACAGTACGTCTTTTTCATATTTAAAGTTCCTTTAGACACCAGATGACCAATTGGTCAAGCAAGAAGTTGACGAAGAGCCGGAAGATCTCACCAAGTCTTGCTCGACTACGGGCATGGGCCCGAAGAAGTCGTCTTTGACAGCACTCTCTAGCTTGATTTCTATCGATAAAAAAAACAAGAAGCGTGTCACCTGGGCGGATGAGAGCAAACTTCTTTCTGTTTGCTATTTTGAACTCGATGATTCTGAACGCGGTAAGAGCCGATAATATGTCCGGTTAGCTCGGTCGTTTGGTAATTTGTTCGATCGGGCTAGTAACGTTGCTCCTATTTTCCCCTTAAGTAAATATCGCAAAGCTTCGTTGCGCGTCACAGCCTCCAACATAGCCATTTTATTTTGGCTCTCCAATTTCTTATCTCGAACACTCTTATTTGTTTTAGTAAACGTAAACAGGGTTGCGGTTGATGACATCAGATTGAAGGAATTGTCGATGGAACGTCAGCTTTTCAAACGCGGTAACGGAAATTGTGAGATTGGGAACCTCAAGGTACGTTTAAAATATTGCTTGAACTTAGTTAAGATACTATATGGGCAAACATGTACTTTGTTGCTCAGATTCTTGTATATAATGAGTTTTATCAACTATTTAAATCATTTTCATACGTCGACGTTTCTAATAAAGTTTACGTATCAAGCATCTTATTTTCTCTTTCCTTGTGTGGTTGGAAAATAAGTTCAATAAAGCTATTTGGTTGGAATCCACTAGTTTTCCTAACTTTGGTCCTAGTTGTCGCCGAGGTTAATTAGTTCAAGGCATCTGAGTCCTGCTTAGCTTCACCTCGCAGCGTTGGTTTAGTGCGAAAACTTGCACACTAAGAAATCGCATTTCCAAAATCCCTTACTCGAAGCAACGCGCGCTGGAATAGGCTCGCGGGCTGGGTCGTCAGCGGTAGGCCGATAGCATGTTCGCTTTTGGCCGCTCTGCTTTGTTGAGGCCCGCATTTAGGGTTGAATTGATTTAAACTTCACCTCTTGAGGTCCGGTCTGCTCGCGTTCCTCCGACGCGTCATTTCATCCTCTATTAAGGCCTGCCCTTGCGCTGTGGCGCCTCGGCTTTAATCAGGTTCCCTTACGTTGGCCCGTATCCCTCTGGGTTTCCAAGACTCAGTTGTTCCCCATCCCGTCGTTTTTGCATTTGTCGCCCGCCGCTATCCGAATGCTTAATAGTCGATGTTTTCCTCATTGATAGTGGTACCGCCCGCTGCCCCTTGAGCGGGTATTTCTGGCCGAGTTGGGGCATAAATCAATTGAGTGTCATGCCCAAGCCGAGCGCGAGCGGTCTGTGCTTCAGGCGCTTTACTTCACTCGAGAAACCATACCTCCTTCCGCCGAAGAGCCTGACGCAGAGGATTATGATCCAAAGCCTCCCACCGAGATACCTCTCGATGATGTAAGTAGTCTAAATAGCAGTGGGTCCGTCGCGCGGCTATATGATCCTACAGGTCGTGTCCGCGTCTGATGAAGCCACTGAGTTTTATGTTGCTTTTGCTATGCAGGCGTAAGTTCTTCCATTTTAATCCCTGCATTTTATCTTTAGCTCAATATATCGGATCCTCTCCCCGAA